TTCTCCGCAAAAGCCAGGGCGCAGGAGGAGTAGCAGACATTGTGTTCAACGCCATGGTCCGGGACTGCTTTCCCGAAGGGGTGTGTTGGAGGAGTCGAAAGGACAATCCCGTCAATAAGTGGTATTTTGAGCGGTCGAGGGGCACATTGAAGCTCAGTGATATGAACTGGACCATGTTCTGGACAACGCCGAAACTGGCGCTGGACGACCAGAAATTCCGTGACTATGAGGCTGTGTGCCGCGGTATTGAACCCTCGTGGGCAGATAAGAAGCACGTAGTTGACTAACAAAAATAAAAAATTAAAATCTACAAAATTATTGGAACAAGCTGTAAACGGCAATAGTATGACTTCTTGCCATGGCTTATGCACTCGACGCGGAAATTCATGGTTTGTCACATGGAAAATCGCCGTGGTCCATCGCATTCAGTAAACTGGGGATGGGACTTGCTACTGTCCCATACTGAACTGAGACATGGCGTCATTTGTTTACTGGGCTCGTGATAGCTACTGTACTTGATATCTACGGTGCACCTGCTCAAAAACCCTGGGGGTAAGAACACGATATCACGGGTGTTGTTGTAATGCTAGTTTCCCTGCTATGAAGAAGAACTTAAAAATCAAAACAAGAAACTCGAAGCTTACTGGCTAAAGGAACCTTCTGGTGTAGGTGGGAGCTACTACATCATCTACTCTGCAGCATGGCGGGGCGGTCAGGACGGGGGAAAAAAAATAGACACACGACCCCACCATGACTCGAGAAGCGATAGCGACTGATAGACAGCGATAACACTAGAGGCGGGGTGATAAGGGGGCTGGCAGGGGGTGGTCGTAGTCGTCATACCCAGCCAAGACGGCTGTGACGGGACAGAGGAGCAGAGGAACAAGAAATAATAAGAGCGTAATATAATAAAAATTTCCTACAACAGCTAAAAAGTGTGGTAGGAGATAGCTAGAGAGTGCTTGGCGACACATAATGCCAAACAGGAATTACCTAATGCATGGGGGGTTCGCGGACAAGGCTGCCCAGGTGGTCCGCATGCGTTGCAAATGTTTTGGATCCCGGCGCTGGGCGTTCGTTGTTGCTTGAAGCGTCTAGAAGTTTCGCGTCGCAGCAGGTTGCGAGGCACGCCCCCGCCCGGGAGGGGTGTCGCTAGGAGGGGCAGCCCGGGTGAGGCTAGCCTGCACCAGAATTCGACCACAAGATCGCCCTGGGTCCCTCCCTCTCCCACCTTATTAGGTAGTCGATACCTGTAGTGCGCATTTGGGCAGCTTTTTTTTCTCTCCTTATTTAAAGAATCGCCCTTCTACCGTGGTGCTTTAGGTAGTGACTAGAACACATCCAACACAACTGCAGACGACTGGTTTCACAGTATCTCCGACCCCCGCCGCCGGCCTCCCGACCGTCTTCCACTCACCGCCGCCACTGGTTCCTGTTCGGCCTGCTCTGTTTGCTGCTGCTTCACCCGCCAAAGAACCCGCCTGCACCGATTCTCAGCCGAGAATTCCATCCAGCGAGTCCACTCCCACCTCTGTTCACCTTTCCCTCAGACAACATGAGTGTCGTTGGTATGTGCACCCGCCCCGACACCCCAGACGCCAGACGCCGGACGCCGGACGCCAGACACCAGACACCCCGGCGCATCTGTTTGTGTTCTGCCAGCCTACTAACTACGGTACCCTCCAGGTATTGATTTCGGAACGCTCAACACAGTTATTGCTGTAGCGAGAAATCGAGGCGTCGATGTCGTACGTCACACCCCTCTCCTCGTCCTTTTGATATTAGCACGGCCCTGTTCATAATGCTGACATATCGTTGGTTGGTTAGATTACCAATGAAGTGTCCAACCGTGCGACGCCGTAAGTATTACCCACCTGGCTGACGATGGCTCGTCTCAACTAACGTCGGCTTCAGTTCCCTCGTAGGATTCGGCCCCAAGTCCCGCTACCTTGGTGAGCCGGCCAAGACACAAGAGATCTCCAACCTCAAGAACACCGTCGGCTCCCTAAAGCGTCTTGCCGGACGCGCTCTCAAAGACCCCGAAGTCCAGATCGAGCAGCAATATGTCTCGGCCGCCCTCGTAGACTGCAACGGCCAGGTGGGCGCTGAGGTCTCGTACCAAGGCAAGAAGGAGAAGTTCACAGCCACACAGCTTGTTGCTATGTTTTTGAGCAAGATCAAGTTCACTGCTGCCACAGAGCTCAAGCTGCCGGTGGCTGATGTGGTTGTGAGCGTGCCACCGTGGTTCACCGACGTCCAGCGACGAAGCATTCTCGACGCTGCCGAGATTGCCGGCCTCAAGCCGCTCCGGATTATGAACGACACCACCGCCGCGGCCTTGGGCTATGGTATCACGAAGCTTGATTTGCCCGCCGAAACCGAGAAGCCGCGCCGTGTCGCCTTCATCGACATCGGCCACAGCAACTACTCTTGCTCCATTGTCGAGTTCAAGAAGGGTGAGCTGACCGTTAAGTCGACCGCCTTCGATCGCCACTTTGGTGGTCGCGATTTCAACTTGGCCTTGGTAAACCACTTCGCAAAGGAGTTCAAGGGCAAGTACCGGATTGATATCGCAAGCAACCCTAAGGCCACGGCCCGTGTCGAGGCCGCTGCCGAGAAACTCAAGAAGATCCTGTCCGCTAACCAGCAAGCCCCGTTAAACATCGAGTCGCTGATGAACGATATCGACGTGAACGCTATGGTCACGCGGCAAGAATTCGAGGCCCTCGTCGAGCCCCTTCTGAACCGGGTCATTGCACCGTTGGAACAGGCGCTTGCCGACGCCAAGCTAACCAAGGATGATATTGATTTCATCGAGCTGGTTGGTGGCAGCACCCGTATGCCGTCTATCAAGGAGAGAATCCAGGCCTTCTTCGGCAAGGGTCTCTCATTCACTCTCAACCAGGACGAGGCCATCGCTCGGGGCTGCGCCTTTGCCTGTGCTATCTTATCACCTGTCTTTAAGGTCCGCGATTTCTCCGTTGCGGATATCGTCCACTACCCAATTGAATTCTCATGGGAGAAGGACGTGGATATCCCCGACGAGGATACGAGCTTGACTGTATTTAACAGAGGCAATGTCCTACCTTCCACTAAGATTCTCACATTCTACCGGAAACAGCCTTTTGACCTAGAGGCACGATACTCGAAGCCTGAGGACCTCCCCGGCAAGATTTCTCCCTTCATTGGCCGTTTCTCCGTAAAGGGAGTCAAGGCCGACCCAAAGACCGAGTTCATGATCTGCAAACTCAAGGCTAGGGTTAACATCCATGGTATCTTGAATGTAGAAAGTGGTTATTACGTCGAAGACCAGGAAGTCGAGGAGGAGATCAAGGACGAGAAGACGGAAGATGGCGAGAAGAAAGATCCTGACGTGAGTGTCGCCTCCTAATAATTCTACTGGGCCGATAGGCTACTTGGTAATATGACTTTAACTGACTATTTCCCTTAGGCTATGGAGACCGATGATAAGAAGGCAGAGGGTAAGCCTAAGACACGAAAGGTGAAGAAGCAGGTTCGCAAGGGTGATCTACCCATTGTTGCTGGAACCACCTCCCTCGACCTGAACACCAAGACCAGCCTGCTTGAGAAGGAGGCAGCCATGATTATGGAAGATAAGCTGGTGGCCGACACAGAGGAAAAGAAGAACGAACTTGAGACTTATATTTATGACATGCGTAACAAGCTAGACGACCAGTATGCCGACTTCGCCAGTGAGGAGGAGAAGGACAAGCTAAGATCTAGGCTCACCGAAAGCGAGGTAGGTTTCCCATGTTCTCCATATTATCGATGCAGTATGGCTGATTTTTGGTAGGATTGGTTGTACGAGGAGGGCGAGGACACTACCAAGGCTACCTACATTGCCAAGATGGACGAGATCCGCGCCATGGCCGGTCCCATCACCCAGAGGTACTTCGACAAAGTCGAGGCTGACCGCCAGGCGTTGCAAGCCAAGCTTGACGCCGAAGCGGCCGCAAAGAAGGCGACCGAGGAGGAAGCCCGCAAAGCAGCCGAGCCGGAGAAGGGCGAGGGTAACAAGGACGAGGAGATGACGGATGCCGAACCCACCAAGCCGGAGGTTGAAGAGCCCGAGTCTTAGAAGAATTTGTCCCGAAAATGGCTAGGCAGCGGACACGGTGCGCAGAATGGCGACATGACACAGACGAGACTAAAAAAGTAATGACTACAATGAAGCTGGCCGGGACTGGATGGTAACGATGGATTTGGGAATATATCTCGTCCGATCCTGACGGGGAATTGCGGTATTAGAGATAGACTACGACCGCCCAGTCAGTACACGAGGCGGGCTGTTGACTTGAGATAGACGTTATCCGGATATGGTATACTCATGACTTCTAATACATTCTTCCATTGTCGTGATGTCCAGTAAAAGTTGAGATGCCAAGCGAAGTTGTTCTGTCTGGGAGTATGCAATTGTTGCTACATTTGGATTATAACCAAGTTTGCGCAGTACCTAGGTAGTGTCACAGGACGAACAAAAAAACATCGAGAGTAGAGCAACACCTCACAAGCCCGCAAGAGAATGTGAGAGTTTCACGACAGTTTATCGGCGTGTTTCCCTTTTCTATAACCTACTTACTGATTTGTATCCCTTAAGCAGGTACTTGGGAAGTATAGAAAACCTTGTTTGCTATAAGTACAAAACGGAATAATCTTCAAGTCTCTCTTTCATACACACACACACACACACACACGCACACAGTTATACAAAAAGCACCCACTATCCAACCGAACGTTGCTAGACTCTCTAGCGGCCCCATTACCTACTACGCACGGTAGGTACGGGGCCTCCAACCCCCCTTTCCTCTTCCCGGGCATAGGCAGGACTAAACACCCGTCAAATCAATCAACGGGCCTCGTGGCCTAATGGCATGGCGTCAGATTTCGGTTATCCCAATAGCAAGATAATTCATTCTCTGAAGATTGTCGGTTCGAATCCGGCCGAGGTCGATCTGTAGTACAGATACAGACACTTTCCGTCCGAATTGGTGTAGTGGCTAACATTTGACGCTCTCATCCGCCCTCTTGCCAGCTTCATCTGAGGTTGAGGAGGGTATTGGTGCCGTCAAGCCCGGGGTTCGATTCCCCGATTCGGAGTCTTTAATTTTTCCTACTTCTTGTTCGTTTGTTTCTTGATCATCTTTGTCTTTATTCCGTTAAATACTTTTCTTAAATTTTTTTGTAGATTGTCCATTTAGCTGGAGAGGTTTGCGCAGACTTTATTTTAAGTTGGCCCCTTTAACCTAAGGTAGGTAGAGGTATGTAGGTAGGTATTGCCACATTAAATGCTTAAATGCCTATCGATAGCAGATAAAACGTCCCTCACTCGCTTAAGTTCTTATCCACCCCCTGTCCCTCGGGCTTTTGGTGTGGTTCTGGTATGGTGGAGGTCTCTGGCAACATTTGAAGGTTCCCAGGCACTGGAGGCAGCTCACAAAATTATTTTATCCACCTGAAAGAAACTGTGCAACTCCCCGCAGCGTCATATGGATCACAGTGCAAGCCGGCTGCCTCTGACTCTGCTTTGACCTTCCCACTTCCCACTTTCCACACCCACATCGACCCGCTTCACTGCCAAATACTAGCAAATAACCAGGCCCTACCTGCCAACCCTCTCACCCTCCACCGAGAAAGAGAGCTGGAGACAATTTTTTTTCCCGCCTGCAATCTCTTTTGCCTTCGGAGATAAGCCTACGAGACCGTGCCATGTCTTGGAAGTTTCCGGGACGTGACTCCAGACTAGACCCGTTACCTGATCTCTCGTCGGTCGTCTAAACATCGCACCTCTCACCCCACCTCGTCTCATCTGCCCGGCTACTCGCAGAACCTCCGCGACCACGATCCGGCCACAGACACAGATCCCTTCTGTCACAGCCATTCAATTTCGCTGCGTTTTGCTACGTAGCAATACCCTGCGACGCCATCGACAGCATCTGCCCACAGCCCCACCAGACCGCCACGATGCCGCCTAAGAAGAAGGGAGGTAAGAAGGCCGCTGACGACTGGGAAGCCGACCTTGGGGAGTCCGTCGCGCCGACAAATGGCGACGCCGCCCCTGCCGCCGATGCCGCCGATGCCCCCGAGGAAGGGGCCGAGGAGGGCGATGCGCCCGTTGGTGGCCTCATGGCCATTAGGAAGAAGAACCTGGCGAAGCGTAAGAAGAAGGGCTTGTCCGAGAACTTCGTCGACGGCGACTCCGCGCAGCCCGCTACCCCAGAGCCCACCGACATCAGCGCCTTTAAGCCGCCCCAGGAAGCCACCGCAGAGGACGAGTTTGCCCTGCCAGAAAAGAAGGGCAAAGGAGGGAAGCAGAACAAGAACCAACCTGCTGCCAAGGCTCCCGCCGCCAGTGCTGCCGATGAAGATGATGCCGGCGACGGTAGGGTGCTCACCAAGGCTGAAAAGGAGAAGCTGAAGAAGGAGAGAGAGAAGCAGAGGAAAAAGGAACAGGTTGGTACTATCACATATCTGAATTGATTTCCAAAGCCTAACGGTTGCTGTTTTGTCTAGGCTGCGAAGAAGAAGACCACAACACCGGCACCCGCTACCAAAGCTGCAGAACCCGCCAAAGCCGCTGTCGAGGAGAAGAAAGAGGCCCCAGCCCCGGCAGCCGCTGCTGAAGCCCCAGCAAAAAAGGGAAAGAAGCTTCCGCCACATCTAGCCGCCCTTCAGAAGCAACAAGAGGAGTTACGGCGGCAACGCGAAGAGGAAGAACAAGCTGCCGTGGCCGAGAAAGCTCGCCTTGAGGCGCTAGAGAAGGAGGAAGCCGAAGAGAACAAGCGAAAGGAAGAGGAGAAGGCCCGCAAGAAGCAGAAGGAAAAAGAGAAGATTGAACAGCTCAAGAAAGAAGGAAAGTATCTTACCAAGGCCCAAAGGGAAGAGAAGGCTCGTAATGAGAGGAAGCTGCAGCAGATGATTGCTGCTGGTCTCCAGGTTGGGCCCTCAGAAGACGGCGAGGAGAAGAAGAAGAAGGTCACGTACGACAACAAAAAGCGGGCCAAGAAGGCTGACCAAAAGGTTTTCCCCCATTCTCCCGTAGCTCACTTGCGTGTTGTCCTTGCTAATTTTCCGTAGGTGGATGAAGAGAAAGCCCTGGCCGAAGCTGCTGAGCGGGCCAGGATACAAGCTGAAGCTGCAGCGAAAGAGGCCGAAGCCAAGGCTGCCAAAGAAGCCGCTGCGAAAGCCGCTGCTGAAGCTGCTGCTAAGAAAGCTCAGGCAGAAAACGAGATCGAGGATGACTGGGAGGCTGCCGCGGCTTCAGGAGATGATGTCAAGGACAGCTGGGACGCTGATTCAGACGAAGAGGCCGAAAAGAAGGCTTCTGCCAAGAAGTCCGCCAAAACCTTACCTTCACGACCAAAGGCCGCCGGGTCTGAGTCTGAGTCCGAATCAGAAGAAGAGTCCTCTGAGGATGAGGAGACAACAGCTGCTCGAGCCGCCGAGGTCAAGCGAAAGAAGGAGGCTGCCGAACGGAGAGCAAAAGCGCACCAGGCAGCTCTGGCTGCCAGGTCTAAAGAAAACCTTCGGAGTCCTATCTGCTGTATCTTGGGTCATGTCGATACCGGAAAGACCAAACTGCTGGATAAAATCCGACAAACAAACGTCCAGGAGGGAGAAGCCGGTGGTATCACACAACAGATTGGTGCTACATACTTCCCAGGTTCGTCGCAATGTCGTCCCCACAGCTAAAGTCAGCTACTAATAATATTATTTTGCTAGGCGAGGCTATCAAGCAGAAGACTGCTGTTGTAAACCAGGACGGAAAATTCGAATTGAAGGTCCCGGGTCTTTTGATTATCGACACACCTGGTCACGAGTCTTTCTCCAACTTGCGTTCCAGAGGTTCCTCGCTTTGCAACATCGCTATTCTGGTTGTCGATATCATGCACGGCCTCGAGCCTCAGACCCTTGAATCGATGAAGCTGCTTCGTGACCGAAAGACACCCTTCATTGTGGCACTCAACAAGATTGATCGTCTTTACGGCTGGAAGAAGGTAGACAATAATGGATTCCAGGAGAGTTTGGCTCTCCAGAGCCGAGGTGTGCAGAATGAATTCAAGAACCGGTTGGAGCAGACCAAACTTGCCTTTGCTGAACAAGGGTTCAATGCCGAGTTGTTCTACGAGAATAAGTCAATGGCCCGATACGTTTCATTGGTCCCAACCTCTGCCCATACCGGCGAGGGTATCCCGGATATGTTAAAACTCATTCTTCAGTTGACTCAAGAAAGAATGGTTGGTTCACTCATGTATCTTTCAGAAGTTCAGGCCACTGTCCTCGAAGTTAAAGCGATCGAGGGTTTTGGTATGACTATCGATGTCATCTTGTCCAATGGTATTCTTCGGGAAGGTGATCGGATAGTCGTTTGTGGTGTCGAGGGTGCTATCACTACGAATATCCGAGCGCTACTTACTCCGGCTGTTATGAAAGAATTGCGTGTCAAATCTCAATATGTACACAACAAGGAGGTGAAGGCAGCTATGGGTGTCAAGATTAGTGCACCTGGTCTTGAAGGCGCTATTGCTGGTTCTCGATTGCTTGTGGTCGGACCTGATGATGATGAAGAAGATCTAGAAGAAGAGGTTGAGGCGGATTTGAACAAGCTGTTTAGTCGTGTGTCTACTTCGGGACGGGGTGTCAGCGTGCAAGCGTCAACTCTTGGTTCCCTTGAAGCCCTTCTCGATTTCTTGAAGGATTGCAAGATTCCCGTGGCCAACGTGGGTATCGGCCCTGTATTCAAGCGTGATGTGATGCAGTGCGGCACGATGTTGGAAAAGAGCCCTGACTATGCCGTCATGCTCTGTTTCGACGTCAAGGTTGATAAGGAGGCCCAGGCGTACGCCGAGGAGAACGGCATCAAGATCTTCACCGCCGACATCATTTACCACCTGTTCGACTCATTCACGAAGCACATGGAGGAGCAGCTCGAGAAGAAGAAGGAGGAGTCGAAGTTGCTTGCCGTCTTCCCCTGCGTCCTCAACACGGTCGCGGTCTTCAACAAGACTAACCCGATTGTCGTGGGTGTCGATGTAGTGGATGGTAACCTACGCGTGGGCACGCCGATAGCCGCCGTGAAACAGAACCCCACAACGGGTGCCAAGGAGGTCATTAGTTTGGGCCGAGTGTAAGTTGGCCATTCTTTCATGCGAACTGGACCTGTTTGTATTATTCACTTCCTTGTTCGTTTCGCTAACAAGTTTCACAGGTCATCGATTGAAAGAGATCACAAGCAGATCCCCGTCTGTAAGAAGGGACAGCCCTCGGTAGCGGTTAAGATTGAAATGGGCGGACACCAGCCGACATACGGCCGACAGCTCGAGGAGACCGACACGCTGTACAGCTTGATCTCACGTGCCAGTATCGACTGCCTGAAGGAGTTCTACCGGAAAGAAGTCACGAATGACGAGTGGTCGCTTATCATTAAGCTCAAGCCGCTGTTCGACATCAATTAGGGGATAGGTGGAATTAACGGCAAGAAAAAACAGCCAGGGCGGGGGGGTAAGAGGCGCCTCTAACATGCATGCATCATGGTTAGAATTGAGCGCTTGTGTTGCTAGTTGGTTGGTTGATTGACCCCTGGCTACCTAGCGGTAACACTTACTTACTTGTATGTATTTATGAATGAGCGGATGAAATCGGTAAAATGAATGGTTTATGGGTAGTTTAATGGAATTTGTTACGTATACGTTATTTATTACTGCTGCTTTTAATGACATGGGATGATGTGGTGTATGTATTTGTTCGTTTGTTTGCTTGCTGTGATTTCCTAGCAAAGACTGCACATATATCAGTAAAATATCGCACGCGCAATCCTGGTGACATGCACGGGCGCCGAGCATGTTAGCTGTAAGGTATGTATATAACTTGCATGTTTAGGTACCATCACTACGCAAGGTAGGCAGGTCTCCTTTACCGCCCACAAAAATCCCAGGCGGGACATCGTATAGCCAGGCCCATGACTTGCCAGGCGCGCTGGCCCAGAAGTCTGGTACAATTTAAAAAGTGACGCGAAAGTACCCCAGCAGGTAGGTCGCAACTAAAAATACTTTAGACACCAACCACGTCTTTTGCTCAATAGGAAGCAAGGTTGGTTGTAT